GTATATCTTCAACCAAATAGGCAGGTTTTATCTCCTTTCCTCTCTTTTTCGTTTCTCTCGCGTTTTCTTGTCATTTCCCCTTTCCCTCTTCAATTTTTCAAGCCCCCACGACGTCCATGACCACAAGTACTTCACTACATCCCATTATATGACAATCGATGCTTAAATTAGTGACAAAAATACACACTCACCACCCATTAAACGGGAAACTCATAAAATTCTATTGTTTCTTTTTCTTTTCTCCTTCAGACGATGGTGGTGATCCGCATCCTTGGTGGAAGATCGACTTACAAAAAGAACACTGCTCGGGGAAAGTCACAGTGTTGATCCGGTTGGAATGCTGCGGTAATACTTGGCTTTGAATTTGAACTTCGTTATATGAGAACATCTGTACAATTTTTTTTGGGAGGGGGCTTTTAGCACCTTGGTTCGCCTTTAGTTGAGTGGGCCATACAGTCACAGCATTTCAGTCGAATACATATGTAACTGGTTAATTTTACAGGTGGTACTTGGTTTTCACTATTTGGGGGGGACTCGATTCATCCACACTTGAAACAAACTAAGGCAGAATACCACCAGGTCCTTTCCTTCTCGATCTCTGAACAAGGAGGGGAACACGGTGGGAGGGGTCAAGGGAATCCAGGGGGTGCAGCCAGTGGCGTGGCTAGGATAGCAGGGGCGGGGGAGGTATAAGGAGGCACCCACATCTTATGGGGGGCATCCATGGTGTATTTTAAGGGCAAGCTTTTGTTAGCCTTGTTCAGTATCCATTCATCCGTTTTTTTTCTTTGGGGGGGGCAACGGGAATTTGTGGGGGCACGTGCTCCCCAGCCCCCGGTGGTTACGCCCCTTGGTGCATCCCAAGCCCCCTTTCGCACCACTTCACAAACCAACCACGTCTCTTAACCGTTAAACGACAGTTAAACGACAGTTTGTTGTTTTCCAGGATATCGCTTCATTGGTGCTGTTGTGCGAGCGGGACTGAGCGAAAATTATGCCGAGAATCGACCGTGCGGCTCGCCTGCCACTTCGGCGCAGTCCCAGCAAGATCTATTGACTTCTTGTGTGACACCCCT